CGCACCGCAAGGTAATTGGCTAAAAGATGGCCAAAGACGAGAAAGAAAAGGGCGGTGTAAATTGAGATGCGGGTCGTATAAGGAACGATGAGCGTTCCGAGCTGTAGATATTGCCCGAGTCAGCTATAACCATTACTCACAAGCTCAAAGGGTTTAATTTACCAAGACACCTGTCAACGCAACCACAGTTGATCTGCTCGCGTTTTTTAGCGTTCAATTCGCCTACGTCACCTTTGCCATTCACGGGTGAAGCGAAGTGGTCTGTGAGTGCTGCTTTTGATCCCCTGCTACGAGACTGCAGAGAGATCTCATAGCTCCGCTCATACACAACGCTGCGATTTGGAGAGTCGAGCCTGAAGGGATATATGGAGATGTGGGGATAGGGATATGCTGGTGAAATATGGGGATATAGTGTCTAAAACGATAGAGGTGTCATTGATGACGTCTGCGAGAAAGCGGAATGTTTTGGTTTCGGGGTATAGCGAGGTACCAAAGTAATAGGCGCCTATTATGGCTGGAGAGACGTCATCAGTGGTTGCGGAGTAGATAGGGAAAACTTACTGGTGAACCGCGAACAAACATCTTTCAGGACTGATAAAAGGAGCGCCTGAGTTGCTGATGCTGATGCATTGCCCACTCCAAAACCTGTACCATCGAACTGAGCTCAATTTGCATCTCCATTAAGGAGCGAGTATACCTTCGAGCGCGCCTCTGGAAGCCAGTAAACCTGACAAAGAACTGCAAAATTCCTGCACGTCATTGTACATTTGATAGCTGGGACGAAGGTACGGTCATGTTTGAGACCATGACGCTCACGCAGCAGTAGAGGCTACTGACTGCAGGTAATCTGCGTGGGTTTAGATGAGGGGGAGCTTGGATGGAATGCTATATTGAGGTGCTTACCAGGCGTGACAGTGTTTGGATATCCAGCTGGGAGGAATATCGCTGAGATGCTACGTCCTAGAGCTTGCAAGGGTTTTTCATTGAGAAGTCGATCTCGGGAAGTATCGGTGGTACGTGCGGTCTGTTGAGAAGCTGTGGGATGAGATAGGACTGGGAGGCTTGTTATCGTGCGTACCTTCTTGGCTGGGATATCGGTACTATGTCCAATGGTGGTGTAGAATATACGTCCGGTTTCATCCCTTTCTGCGACGACTGAACTACTGGCTGTCATTTTGTGGCACGGGGCAGTTTGATGACAACGCGGCTGGCAACCAGCTGGTTAGAATACGCTACTGACTAACTCTGACTTTGTTTAGTTGGAATTTGTAGAGCTGCAAGCTGCGTTTAGATGTATTTGAATTTGGGCTCAATGACCTTCTCGCGAGTTGGAGGCTGTTGGAGGCAAGAGAATTGTGGGACTTCTGCAGACGCTTAAGTTGACACACCTGTTTTGACCGTTTGAATCAAGCTTGATTCAAACGGGCATAACAGGCGTCTACACAGTGCAGGGTACAGTAATAGTGCTGTAGAGTACTGCGCTCTAATCTTTGAGATCATGAACAAGGTCTTGGGACGACCTTCTTCCTTTATTTGGTCTCTCTGATAATATGTATGGCCGAGAAAAGGTCATCCCTCCGCTGGGTCCGACTAAAAACCAGTTTACAAATTCCGTTGCTATCGACAGCCCCACACGACTAGCACAAACTATAAGTCCTGCTCATTATCTTCTGGGCGGCTCGCCATCGATATTAATATATTGGGCTGTAGCATCACAGGAATCAGACCAATGAGGTGAGTTGTTAGTGCCATTTTGATGAAAATATGCGCTATGCTAAATCCATCGTGCAATTGATGAGGTCTTACTAGGATGCTGTCCAAGGATGGGACTCCGCAGTGGGGTGTGCAACTGCGCATGCGGCGACCAATCCCCGGAGCAAGGATTCGGGCGAATTGAAGAAAGTACTGATCGGATCAAACAGTGAACGTCGAGGGGTGTGCATTTGCAGCTCAAGGTGAGTTGACTAGTAATTTGTGGCATTAACTTCCTTTCTAACTTGTATGATGGCGTGCCAACTTAATCTAGGGATGTGTCGTACTCTCCACATCAACTATGTATATTCAATCAGGCTGTGACAATTGATGCAAATCGAGTATGATGCGCCTTGTATCAGTTCTGTACTTACCGTTTGACGACATCCTTATCATACGAATAGCCGATGATCGAGGTGGAGGACTAGAAGGTGTGCAGAAGGTTGCACATACTCAGGACACGGAGGAGCAGGGACGTTGAAAGGTGTGCTTGAAGAAGTCGTATAGATGAGTCATCTGTCTGCTTCATTTGAACCTCCTTTGTTTTACATTCCAACGAAAGCACACCTTGTTGAACGACCTCGGAGGTGCTATCACATTCAGGCCTACGACACGGAGACTGCTGATGCCCATCGAGAGCCATTGAGATAGCAAGCTTTTCCCAAGGTCACATCACACCTAGGCCGTTGTCAGACAAGTCGTACATCATGCACCGGGTTTCATTTGATTCAGCGTAGAGGGGTGTGCATTGGGCAGCTGTGTGACCGGGGTGAGTCATCATACAATTAGGAACCCTGGGATATAGACACTGCTGAGGCTCCTCGATCAGGCCTACGTTTCACAACATTAGCCGGTTCAGTTTGAAGAACAACAAGTCAGGCTTCTTGCGATCATAACGGTGTGCCTGAGCTTTCTTTTTCTATGTCCTATCTTAGCGCTGTCTTAATCCGAGGATGGCACTGTATCTTCACCATACATCAAATCATGGATTCTCAACCAGGGTATATCTGGCTATGCAAACTAATGTAGGTCACCGGCGCAGCTCAGCTGCTATGTCTCTAGCTGCGCAAATTGATGCATCTACATTGCAGATTGAAGATTTTGCGCCCGCCATTTTTGGCATTTCTGATACGAAAGTTACAGTGTTCAAGTATTCCGCCCATACAACTGCTTCATAACCAAGACCTACGCTGAGCGCCTGGATAGAGTTCATCTTTCTTCATGTGAAAATATCTACTTCGGCCAATCAGAGCAGGAACGGTCATCCTCCGATCTCATTTTGATGATCCAAGCACTGAACGGTGGTATAAGTAGCGCAAAGGTTATCGTCATACGTCCACCAAGCACCCGCACCCATTCTCTACCAATATGACCATAGTCTTAAACGATCCCACTTGGTGGCCAAACATTAATGCAAATCGTATTCAAAGCTATTTTGTAGGTTCGTACAGAGTAGTCAGATTTGATGCTACCAATGCCTCAACCTAACCTTGACTGCGTTCTCTCAGTTGCCGCCGTTGTTGGAGTAACATATGATTGGGGTGAGCATGATAATATTAAAGGGCTGCTGATATCTTACAAGTATTTTCAGCACTTGCATTCGGACAAGAGGTATGTCAAAGATATGACCGGAGCAGCCATCTCTCTAAGAATGGTTTATAGATTGAACTGGTCTGGGTAAGTAGACTCTCATGTCAGAGGAGCACGATGAAAATACACTTGATTACAGATGCAACGCTGGTCCCTAATGACAGTTCTGTATCTTAGTGTATGTGGCTCGCCTGTCATGGTTGCCATGTGGTGCTGACTTGTAAGTATCCTAGGTGCGCTACCTTGGAATCGTATATGCTGCGTATGTTCGGAAGGTTGAATAATCGGCGCTGTGCTAATTGTCCGTCTCATAATCAGCCTGAACATGCTTGGGATGTCTCGTTATTGCATTCACTGTCTTTGCTTCTTCTGATCAACGGCATACAGGCAGTGTTACGACCATCTCGTTGACAGATACAGTGAGTCTTCTGCACAGATGCCTACTATTCCTCTCCAATTGACCGTGGTTCCATGTAGGAGTGGGTGTAACTTCTTAACATTTTCTTGGTTCACTAATGACTGCCACGTTGTACTGCCATAGATGTGAGTCTGTTTGGTGTATGCTACTCGAGGCTCGCTGACTGGGTTTGTCAGGCTTTACTACGTTCGCCGTACGGAATTGGACGAATATTTTGGTATCTGCGATGCTGTGGGGTGAGTTTGGCAATTGCGAGATCCCAGTGATGTTAACTTTACTGAAACATGCTGCTGCGCTGCAAGTCATCATCATCACTCGGTTACATGCTATGTATGAACAATCCAGAAAAATCCTGATATTTCTTATTTTCACCTTCCTGGTGGTCAACATCTTCGACGGAGTGGTTGTCATACTATTGACGATGTATGTTTCAGGAGGTACGCTTAATTGTGGATGAAAATACACGTGCATGAGGGTCATTGATGGATACCAGAGGAACTCATTCTGTCCGGCACCTATCAGTGTGCATTTGACTATACGGAAGATACCCTGCTTCTGCCTCCAATCACTTGGATACTTGGAACTGTGTGGGAGGTCCTCGCACTATGTCTCGCAGTGTGGATTACGGTAAAGCACTTCCATGGACCGCGACAAGGAGGGATTATGGAGGACTTTTTCACGGTGTTGATGAAAACTCACGTAGTTTACTTTGCCAGGTGAGCTCATATTGTGATCGTTTTTCCCTTTTCACACTAAAAGATCGGACGTGGTAGCTTTGTTGTTATTTCTTGTTTGCAGCTCATTGCTGATTACTCTCCAACACTCTCAAGCGTATGTCAATCTTTCACTTAGCTCTGCATGTGACCACGATTCATCATTGCTATAGGGCCAAAATCCTGTCGAAACTCAGACTTTTTATGGCTTGCTTGAGATCTTGGAGGTCGTGCAGATGTTTGTGCTGGGACCACGTCTGATCCTTAGCATTCGAGAGTATCACGCTAGGCTCGTGGCCGATTCCGACGCAGCAACTGGGATGACCTCGATCGTTTTCCAGGAGCGTGTGCATATATCGACTGACAATGGTGTGTAATGCTCAGTGAAGTCAGCGGATGTCTGGTGCTATACAAAGAGCAGGAGAATCTGCTTTCATACTTTCGTGATGGTATTGATTGGTGTTCCGAAGTATGTTTCAAGATGACATAGGTCTGGACGATGTTTCATCGTGGTACATAGTTCAGTGATTTGATATATGTGTTGACAAAGTTCAAATCGTTACCCCTACTGGCACTAGACACTTGCACCGACTGTGGGTCCTTTCTCTGTGATGGCAACCATTCATGCGATTGCTTGGGCGGATGGGTGCGCGAGAGCCAAGTTGAGCGACAGTGCACTGATCGATTGATTTAATTCGAAGGAATCCAGTCCTCTCGCTGGGCTGTATTGACAGACGCGACACTAGATCATTATCGTGAGTGAAGGCGCTCGGGAGCCGTGAATTTCCGCGTTCGATCGAGATCCAATTATGAAGATCTGAATACCAGATGATGTGCCAAATAGTGTGCGAGCTATCGGTATCTTGATGATGCAGGTAATGGGGACGAATTCACGCAGTACTTGGGTTACGTAGGAAAAAAATGTGGACAAATCCGGACTCGAACCGGAGACCCCCCGCATGCTAAGCGGATGTGATAACCAGCTACACCATATGCCCCACGGAAAGACACCTGTTTATGGATCCTATATCCATGATTGAAGCAGGAGGTGTAGTCGTCGTGGTTCTCATGCATTTCTCAAGCGTTGATTTTTGGGCGGTGTACTCTGGTGATCAGTACTTTGACTGCCGTATTTTATAGCGTAAGATGCACCTTGATTTGATATTTGGTTTAAGTTATCGTTCTCTCGGCGAATCCCGGGTGGACCTTGATCGTGTACTTTGCGAAGTTTCGTCACACTGTATTCCTGTCTTGATGGACGCTGTACCCACGACTCTAGTTGTACCGGTGCTGTCAACGGACATGTCAACTGCAGACGTGCAGATGAAAGACGAGACTACCGTAGAGGACAAGGCCGCTGAGAATGTCCAGTTAACCGAAACCGGTGAATCGGGCGCTGGTGAGCAAGGTCGTGAAACAACCCCGAACCCAGATGGACCCTGTACAAGCGAAGAGGTTCCAATGACCATAATCGCCCCGGACAACGGCAAGGAAGTACAAAAATCTAACTCGGACCCCCTTCCTGACGTCAATAGACCTCAAGAATCCATCATTACTAGAGATATTAGTATCCCACCAGTATCACGGCCACAATCTCCAGCAATGCCACCTCCATCACGTCCTGCTTCACGTCTACCACCAATGGGTTCTTTCCAAGTCCCTTCTCAGCCTTTGCTAGAGCGTCCCCTCAATGTCACAGATGCTTTGGGCTACCTTGATGCTGTCAAGGTACAGTTCCACGACCAGCCAGATGTTTACAACCACTTCCTTGACATCATGAAGGACTTTAAGAGTGGACTGTGCGTTTTATCTCTTCTTCCTAAATTCATTCCTCATATTTCTACAGTATCGATACACCAGGCGTCATAAAACGCGTCTCCCACCTTTTTAATGGCCATCCCGACCTTATCCAAGGCTTCAACACTTTCCTCCCTGTCGGTTATCGCATCGAGTGCTCTTCTGACCCACAACAGTCTTCTTTCATTACCGTCACAACCCCTACTGGCACGATGCTCCAGTCCACTCGTGACGATTCTTGGCCTTCTGCTCCGATAGCTCCTCCACCTGCCGTATTGGCTGAACCCGACGCAAACATGTACGGCAGTCTCGATAGCTCATCTATAGAACCAGCCGTTCAGTATGTCCAAAAGATAAAGCAACGCTGCGACGAGGCTACCTACCGCCGGTTTCTAGAGATTCTCGGCAAGTACCATAACACTACCGACGCCGTCGACGAGGTGAGCTTTCTGCCTTTCGCATTCAAATCAAATCCTAATTCATGTTTCACAGCGCGAAGTGTCAGCTGAAATTGCCCGTCTTTTCAAGGACGATCCCGATTTGCGCGCCGACTTCAGGATTTTCATGCCAGAGAAGAGCCAGGCTCTTTTTGACGAAGCGGAAGAAAGCTATATCACGGCCCCAACAGGACGTCGAACGCGATCAAATACGCCCTTAGATGGCAAGCCTGTCCGCCGTCGCACAGACCCCCAACCTCTCATCGAGCCCTCTGTCCCTCAAAAACGCAAGCGTAAGGCCAACGAACGGGACACTGTCTCCGCCGCACCTAAAGCTCCCTCCAAGGTGACACCCTGACTCCCGAAATACAAATAACTCACTGACATATCCAAGCTCAAACAGCCACCCCTCCCACCCTCTCTCCTCCCACCAGACGACACACACTTCTTCGACCGCGTCAAGCGTGCGCTGGGGAATCGAGACACTTACAACGAGTTTTTGAAGCTCGTAAATCTCTTCACCCAGGAGCTTATAGATACTGCACGTCTCGTCCGTGAAGCACGGAATTTCCTGGGAGACGCCGAGTTAATGCGCCAGTTTAGGGAGATTCTTGGCTGGGATGATAGGCGTGAGAGGGAGCGGTGGGTGCTGGAGGAGAGTCAGCAGCAGCAGACTTGGGCGAGGGCACAAGGTCAGGGAGGCTCTATGGTCGTCCCGATCCGCCCGGGCAGAGTTAGTGCAGGGCTTCAACTAGGAAGCTACCGTCGAATGCCAGCTAGTGTACGTCCTTACCCCTCTACTCATCTCATACTGACCACCACACAGGAAGCCAACGTCACCTGCGCAGGGCGTGACGAGATGTGCCGCGCAGTCCTCAACGACGAATGGGTCTCGCACCCCACCTGGTCGTCCGAAGACGCAGGCTTCATAGCACACAAGAAAAACATCTATGAAGAAGCTCTCCACCGCTCCGAAGAAGAACGCCACGAGTACGATTTCCACGTCGAAGCAGCCACGCGCACCATCGCTATCCTCGAGCCTCTCGCTGCCAAAATTGCCCAACTTCCGCTCGAAGAGCGATCTGCGTTTAAGCTGAAGCCCAACCTTGGAGGCTCGGGCAAAGCGGTGCATGCACGCGTCATCAAGAAGATATACGGACGCGAAGCTGGACTGGACGTTTTGCAAGCGATGCAAGATGCACCAGCCCTCGCTATCCCCGTCGTCCTCATGCGCCTCAAAGAGAAAGAAGAGGAATGGAAACGCGCACAGAGGGAGTGGAATAAAGTATGGAGGGAAGTAGACGCCCGGAACGCTTCTCGTGCTTTGGACCACGCGGGGATCGCATGTAAAGCCGCAGACAAAAAAGCTCTTTCAGCAAAAGCGCTAGTGGCTCAGATCGAAGCTGCGCGCGATGCGCAGGTGAGCCAGCGGGCTGCGCTTGTAGATCCGTTGTTTGCGCGTGCAAGGGTGCGGCATCAGCTGGCGTACGAGGTTGCGGATACGGGTGTCTTGCAGGATGCTGTGAAGATGGCGTTGTCGTTTTTGGACAGGACGCAAGGGCAGATCGGGGCTCCTGAGCGAAGACGCATCGAAGGGTTTCTGCGGACGTTCATTCCGCTGTTTTTCGTTTTGGATCAAGAGGTGTTTCATAGAGCGTTTGTGCTTGGAGAAGCGGGGGAAGTTGAGATGGGGGACGATGGGGATGATGGGGAGACAGGGAGTGTTGCGGGTGGGAATGGGGGGAAGAAGAGGAAGGGTGGGCTCGGTTCGGGTGGAGATCTGAGGAAGAAGTTACTGAAAAGCGAGCAGGCGAAGTTGACGGGGAGGAAGACGCGTGCGCAGGAAGCAGCATCCCCGTCTTCCTCGAGACCTACCTCAAGACCTGCGTCTCCTGCGATACCTGATGCGATGCAGGTAGATGCCGTCGAGGAGGGGGAACGGGAGCCTGTCGTGCCATTGCGCAAGGCATCGAGGAAGAATGTGTTCTTTGGGAATACTGTGTTTTATGTGCTTTTGCGACTTTTAGAGGTACGTGGTTTTTCTATTGATTCTCCACTTTTCCATCACTAACGTGCGTTCGTTTGACTACAGGTATTATACTCCAGACTCTTATTCTTCAAAAAGCTCAGTGCGCGCATCGCTATCGAAACGCCCAAATCAGCGTCTAAAGCGAAGTCGGTCGTTCCACCGCTAGGGATGCCGTCCCTCGTCGAACTCGCTCAGCTAGACGACCGTGCTGCTCATGCAGATCATTTCTATGATCTGATGCTCGAGTCGTGCGAGAGGCTATTTGACAATGAGATCGAACAATATGTGTTCGAGGAGCAGATGCGGTATATGTTTGGGGTGAAGGATGCATATCGAATATTTACGATCGATAAAGTTATTGGGTCGTTAATCAAGCAGGTGCGTCGTCCTCCTATTTAAGTTGAGATCATTATCTGATGATGTGGGCGTAGGTCCAGATTGTGTTGGCTGATTCTAGGAGTCAAGAGCTCTTTGAGCTTTTGAAGCGCGATCGGGCATTACAAGTGCCGACGATCCAAGATCAGCTTAATAGTCGACGATTTGCGGAAAATCTGCTTGGACCTGATGAGAACATTTTCCGTATAGATTGGGTGCGTCTTTTCTATTTTCAGGTCCTTTCGAGTATTCATGCGCGGTTGGAACTGGAACAGCTTCCAGACACAAAAACGATGACGATTCAATTGCTCGGAAAAGATGATTCGAGGATTGATGATTCAGAGATGTTGGCGGAGAGGTGGCAGGCGTATGTGGATTCGTTCGTGTCGGTGCGTGTTCCTTATAAAAGTCTTATCGCGTGGGTTGATGGGTTTGATACTTTACAGAGTCCTATCACAGAGGGCATATCACAGTCCCGCGTTGGACGTCCATTTCTTCGCAAGTGCGTATATGCTACTCTTCACTTTTCGCTCGCTCACACGCATACGAATGCTAATACTTGTTTTGCAGGAACATCCCTCCCTCGGCTACTGCTAGTACCCCAGCGGTGCTCGCGCGTAGCGCACTAGAAACGAAAGTATGCGTCCGGACCTATCGCTTGTTTTTCGTATCGGGTACGGAAGACTTTTTGTGGCGGATCCCGTCCAAGGCGGATTTAGTGACCTGCGGACGAGAGGAAGCGAGGCGGGAGCGGTGGATTATGAAGGCGAAGGCGGGCGAGTGGAATCCTGATCTTACGAAGAGCGTGAAGGAGCCGACGCCCGTGCAGGCTGGGAAGGAACAGATCCCTGTGTCTGTAACTGTGTCTGAGCCTGAGCCTGCGAGGGCGGTATGAGGTGAGGTGCTGGTGCTGGTGTTGGAGGCGGACGCGCGTGACCATTGTACATATGATTATTTTAATCTTTGTTATTGAATTTTTTGAACTACATATGCTCGAGTGTTGTAGAGATTCAGATCAGATGTGCTACGCTAGTACGTGGATGGTTGAAGTGAAAGAGATCTCTGGTACCATGGCCAACATCTGATCTTGAGTCTGGTACCATAGATACCTTCCACTTCGGCACATCGGATATGACTAGGAGGTCGATGCTCGGGCCTGTGCGGCTCGGCTTAGTGAAGACTCAGGACTGTTAATAAAACAATGCTGAGGTGGGGAGAGGCGCGCAGCGAGTATATATGGGTCTATGGAGGATCTGTGGCTGAGTGGCGAAGGGGCTGTATAGTACATAGTATAGTAAGAGGCAAAGATTGCTATGTTGGTGACACAGCGGGTCGGACGAGTTGCTCCTAGTGTCCTTACTTGCTTATTTGGTCTGAGATTCTCCTTTTTCTCTAACGTCGTGGTCAACTCTTTCAGTATTCAAGTTTTTGTCGTCATTGTTCGAGTCGCGCTCCAATTCGAGAAACCTCGTTCTAATGTAAACTTCAGCACCTCTTACTTGTTAGCCTAGCGAGTACTATATACCCTGTATCTGTCACTTTTCCGGATGGCCCAACAACACCTTGGATTCGTCGCAACACAACAGAAAAAAATGCCGGAATGAAAATGAGATGTACAGATTCCATCGAATCATCATGCATTCGAATGCGAACGCGCCTGAAGTTCAATATCTGTCAATTGAGAGTGTGATGTGGTTCCGGGCTCAGGGGAGTCGCAAATGGTGTTGCAAAACCGTAGGTGCATCCGAGTCACGAGGATCGTATGCATGACGATTTGAAATGTTGCAAACATATTTGAGGAGTTGAACTGCGTAAAACAAGTATCAGGATCCCCAGCCGACGTCGAGTTGGATTCGGGTTTCTACACACCGATAGCAGTTCAAAGGCTAAAAGATTGAGCACAGATAGCGCTAGAATTGAAAGATTAATTCCGTTTTGACAGTCATGAAGGTACTACTTGCTTAGCCCAGTTCCGAAGTAAAAGATGTTGTGTTGTAGAAGGATATTGAGCAGCCGATACCCTCTTTCGCGGTATGCCCAATATACACGAATCATGGTGAGTACCATGACCTCTGGCAAAAAGTGAGGACTCGACTACATTTATGGCTTCGTGATCTCACCAAGCTCGAATGCTGCTATAAGTGACCAATTATATGCAGCCTTTGTGTCGTGGGATAGTGAGTAACAACCGCCACCTATGTCTGATAGTTGGACTGTCGTCGACCTACACTGAGCGATTTACATGTGGTTCTTCTTCAAGACACTCACGTTCCGACTGGCCCCAAACCTTCAGTATTATTACCATGTTCAATATCGTCAGGCACTGAAGTGAGGTATGTCAGAGTACAGAATGTGGGAACGCAACTGTATGCGCACCAGTCCCGTTAACAACAAAAGGCCCAGAATGGATTTCTTTTGTCCCCATAATGCATAGGTACGAAGGATGAAGATACCTGGAGATCCTGTGAGTATTCTGCGTGAATACACTATAAACATCATAATACTTTCTGCACCGGTGATGCACAATGCAGCAGTACCTGAGGGACGAACTTTAAAGCGGGACTGGGAAATTCTGTTGTTGCAATACTTACAATACCACATTGACTGTAGAATTTTACAAGTCTATATCGGTGAATCCTCAGGATGGCAGATGACATTGTTCCCAACTAATGCTCACCACAATATTTTCATTCGGGAGATAGTTCACTTCAGTATCCTGATTAGCTGCAAGTTGACGACAGAGCATGCCATTTGGACTCACTGCATAAGTGTACAGAGAGCATCAAGGCTGGCATGTATCTCGTCACGATATAAAGAATACTTCCTTTGCTCCACCGTGGCCGATGAATCAAAGATACCTATACACAACAATCAGCCTGTCTATAGACATGCTATCATATCTCGCAAAGATGAAATCACCTCCTGGTCCAAGATTAGGAAACAATCGTAGACCTGTGACAAGATATTGATGAATGACGGCTGGACGAACGGCAAGATCGCGCACCCAAGAAGCCACCAGTGATGCTAGCGCGAACCCTGTTAGCTATGAGATATTGTTATGGTCGAAACGATGGCACCGAAAAAATACTGCCAGTGCCAAGATTATAGATATGAGTGAAACGAAGATGTCAACAAATATCAGTCACTTACATTCTGGGACTGGATGATGGTTGAGAGATTAATGAAGGTTTGTGAGTCCATGTATAAGAGAGAGTAGGATGGAGGCGCTAGTATAGAGCCTGGTAGGCAGAATATATAACAATTCTGATCAGGGTCAAGCGTGACTCACCAGGCCTTCAGCCAACAGCACCATGATAAAGCAACATGCCAAGCAAGGGTCGACCGGTCAAATATCTTTGACTGCTTCAAGGCACCTCAGCACGATAGAACGCAGAGTATCAGATGTGCCACGGACTTCATAAGTACTCGGGGCCCTCAGCACCCGGGCGCCGCCCCTCGTAATGATACCATAAATCTCAAATCCTGCGGGTCGATTTCCTATTATTCCATGCAATGTCTACGATTGCTAATAAGCAGAAAGTTCACAACAATCGAACGGCATGCTCACCTGACATTGAAAAAGTCCAAGCGTATGCAGAGCACCTAGAAATGATGTTTCTTACAAGTAGAATAAAAGATGACTTCTGGACGGGAGGAAGCGTTGGATTATGAATGCGAAGACGGGGGAGCGGAGTCCTGATTTTGTGGTGAGGAGGTGAATGAGACGACTTAAGGTACAGACCCTGTCATGTCTGGTCTGAGCCTGAGCCTGGGAGCGTTGTTACCTTGCGAAGCAAGGTCAGGTTCACATGGATCATTTTATGTGATTTCCAAATAATAGTAAATACAGTGACGCCATACAACGTGATACGATGATGCGAACTTATCACCTACCTCCGATTTCCCTTCCAATACTTGTCGTTTTCTGAATAACAAAGTAATAACTTAGACCGTGCAACTCCCTCGCGCCCAGAGCTCTGCCCACAGGGCGAAGCTAGCGCGCTTCCCTTCCAATATTCGTCGTTTTCGGACAACTCCCTTTTTTGTTAATATGTTGGTAATAATGTGATGAATAAATAAAAATTAATCCTATAATTTCACGCCGCGACCCTAAACATCGTATTTACTATCTATCTATCGAAACACCATGCAACCTAGCGTATTTGAACTGCTAAGTACCTCAGACAATCAATGTGCTTTCATTTTCAGTGAGTATAGACTGAGAATTACTGATATCGTTCTGGATCCCAGAGAGCCAAAGATTGGGAGCAACGCTGTGGAAGCAAAGAGAGCATTCTTGCGTTATCCCCCTGCATTTGTTATCATTCACCTCGACTTCTGCGATTTGCCGCCATTGCACGGACTTCTGCCTCAGCACATACCAGTGTTACCTTGCGAAATTAAATTTTCCATGGGCACAGGTCCTTCTACAAGAACCACGCGGCGTCAACTCCCTGTAACACCAGCTTACGCATTTACCGACTTTAAAGCACAAGGACAGACGATTGATCATGTTTTAGTGGACATTGGAAGAACGACATGTTTTCGCCTATCTCCCTTCAATGCATACGTCGCACTATCCAGAAGTCACGGCCGAGAATGCATACGTCTTCTCAGAGACTTTGACAATGATCTATTCCTTCAACATCCAAACGAAGACCTTCGGATAGAAGATAACAGGATTGAGCGACTCGCGGAGGAAACGAAAAAGCGTTTCTCGAGGACAGACAGTCTGACAGAAAACAAGGTACCATAGTGCAGTACACTGAAAGAAACAATGTAGTAGTAGCTATATAGTGATGTCAGAAGAAATCCTGGGACGAAGCCAGACTAAACGAGTACGATAGAGCTAGAAAAAGACGGAATGTGAGCAAGGTCCACGTCGGCAACGCCGACCCCTAGTTTCCAAAGCTGGGACTCCTTCAGTTTACTGATGAGCTGCTCGGTCCACCCATCCAACGAGTCAGGAAACCATTGAATTGAGCAAAGACAAGTTTGTGGGGCATCTGAGGACACAAAAATTACCTGAGTTGGCTGGTGCCCTTACGTGCGATCCCCGACACTCACTACGTTTAACGTTGGCGATGGAGGAGAAACAAAAATCACACACGGAATGATCCGATTACCTCCGGTCTCCCGGTCCCCATGTCCCTGCGTCTATTTCTTATGTAAGTAAAGTCCTAGTGGGTTCATGCATACCTTCAACATCTTGAGCGTTCTGATGACTCTACATGGTTTTTCTTTCCCGAAAATTATCATTCCACATCCGTTCCTAATATGCCCGCGTCTGTCATTATAAAAGCGGCTCGAGTGCCGCTAGAACTACGTTAGGAAGTTCAGACGACGTGCGCAGTGTACAGAATAGGTTCGACGAGGAGGGTTTTCCGGTGGATGCTGTCTGGTTGAATATCGAGTGTACAGCGGATCACGAGTGTTGATAAGACGTTTATAGATCCAGTGGAGATGACGAGGGATGTGGAGGCTGTTGAGCGGAAGGTCTGTTTTGTTTTATTTCGTTCTTTCTTTTATCCTTTGTGGTTAATTTTGCGCTCATGAGTCATGTATATACCTCTCAGATGGTAACCTTCGTGGACCCCAGTTAAAACGCTCAAACGACTACCCAGTAATTGGGTTGTCCGTTCCTCATCTAATTCGCACTGTAGCTCTGGACACACCAGGTGGTGTATGATCTAAAAGTGAACCAATAATGCAGAATTCTGAACCATTTCACGCCCTGGATCTCATCAGGCCTCGCAGAATCATGTCTCAAAGACGCATCTGTACCTGATCGTTCAAGGTGAATTTGTTAACGCTGTGATATCAAATACCATGCACTTGCGACTTTCTGTCGGATTCAAGATGCTACTCTGGTCACTAGTTGTATGACACGAGGCAGAAAAGCAAACAAGATGAGTATTTAGGAATGAATATGTTAAATTCTTGAAGGACTTTTCGCCAGTCGTTTACGATCATTGTTGATACATTGCGCTCTCTCCTGGAGCTTCCGATTTGTCCAAGTCCAGCAATCGTACGTCAATTAAATGTCATCGCATGAAGATGAACATCATGCTACCGGTCAGTGGAACGATCTGTTAGGCAGTTAAAGTCGACGTGAATTTTGGAGAATATAGTAGCGAGTCACCCCAGAGAACAGAGTCGGTACCCACCAGGTATAACTGGATGTGAGCAGAGCGCCGCATATGGGTGTTCCTGGATACAGAGTTAGAATTTTAAAAAGAAACGACACAACTGAACCCACCTATCAAACTTGCGAATCCTACACAAGCGATCCCGTGACAAGTTAGAACACTGTCGAAATAATCATAATACCCATCAAGAGCAAAGAAACAGATCCCCATCTGCGCGCTATAATCCAAATTAATTCAAACCTTCCATTTCAAACGGTCACTCACGGTCACCCAAGCTCAGAGAGGTCAGGTGTCAAAAGAGCCATAGGTGGAGTCGCATCGCATTGCCCGCATGAAATAATGAACCCATCTGAAACTTAGACACCATATTGAAAAAAATTACTTACTCAGCCCTGAGATATACTAAGCCGTACGCCATGCCAAGCACAACGAAGGAACGTCCCTCCCTCGGCTACTGCCAGTACCCTTGCGGTGCTTGCATGTAGCACACTAGAAACGAAAATATGCGTCCGGAGTCCGGACGTACCGCTTGTTTTTCGTATCGGGAAGACTTTTTGTGGCGGATCCCGTCCAAGGCGGATTTAGTGACCTCTGGACGGGAGGAAGCGAGGCGGGAGCGGTGGATTATGAAGGCGAAAGCGGACGAGTGGAATCTTGATTCTGTGAACAGCGTGAAGGAGCCGAAGCCCGTGCAGGCTGGGAAGGAACAGACACTGACGAGGGTGCTGTATAGTCGTACATAGTAAGAGGCAAAATAATATAAGTATGTCAGTGGGTCGGACGAGTTGCCCCTTGTTTGGTTTGAAATTCTCCTGCTTCTTCTCTAACATCGTGGTCAACTCTTAGGTTGTTTGAGTCGCGCCTCAATTCTGAGATGTCTGATAATTTTCAACTGAGAAACCTCGTTCGTAAACTCCAGCAATGTTATGGACCTCTTACTTGTTAGCCTAGCAAGCACTATACCACCCTGCATCCGTCACTTTTTCCTGATGGCCCAACAACAGCTTGGATTCGTTGCAACACAACAGAAAAAAATGTCAGAATGGAAATGAAATGTACAGATTGCATCGAATCATCATGTATTCGAATGCGAACGCGTCTGAAGTTCAATATCTGTCAATTGAGAGTGTGATGTGGTTCCGAGCTCAGGGGAGTCGCGAACAGTCTTGCAAAACCGTAGGTGCATCCGAGTCACGAGGATCGTATGCATGACGATTTGAAATGTTACAAACGTATTTGAGGAGTTGAACTGCGTAAAAAAAGTATTAGGAAGCTCAGGCTACATCGAGTTGGATTCGGGTTTCTACACACCGGTAGCCATTCAATGGCTAGAAGATTGAGCACAGATAGTGCTAGGATTGAAAAATTAATTCCATTTTGACAGTCATGAAGGTACTACTTGCTTAGCCCAGTTCCGAAGTAAAAGATGTTGTGTTGTAGAAGGATATTGAGCAGCCGACACCTTCTTTCGCGGTATGCCAAATATACACGAATCATGGTGAGTACTATGATCTCTGAGGCAAAAAGTCAGCACTCGACTACATTCATGGCTTCGTAATCTCACCAAGCTCGAATGCTGCCATAAGTGACCAATTATATGCAGCCTTCGTGTTGTGAGATAGTGAGTAACAACCGCCACCTATGTCTGATAGGTAGGCTGTTGTCTACACTGAGCGATTTACATGTGACTCTTCAAAACACTTACGTTTCGACTCCTTCCAAACCTTCAACGCTATTACCATGTTCAAGATTATTAGGGACTAAAGTGAGGTATGTCAGAGTGCAGAATGCGGGAATGCAACTGTATGCGCACGAGTGCAGTTGACAACATAAGGCCCATAATGGATTTCTTTTGTCCCCATAATGCATAGGTACGAAGGATGAAGATACCTGGAGATCCTGTGAGTATTCTGCGTGAATACACTATAAACATCGTAATACCTTCTGCACCAGTCATGCACAATGCAGCAGTACCTGAGGGACGAACTTGAAGCGGAACTGGAAGATTTTGTTGTTACAATACTTACAATACCACATTGACTGTAGAAGTTTACAAGTCTATATCGGCGATTCCTCAGAATCGCAGGCGACATTCTTTCCGACTAATGCTCACCACAAAGTTTTCATTCGGGAGATAGTTCACTTCAGTATCCTGATTAGCTGCAAGTTGACGACAGAGCATGCCATTTGGACTCACTGCATAAGTGTACAGAGAGCATCAAGGCTGGCATGTATCTCGTCACGATATAAAGAATACTTCCTTTGCTCCACCGTGGCCGATGAATCAAAGATACCTATACACAACAATCAGCCTGTCGATCAACATACTGTCATATCTCGCAAAGATGAAATTACCTCCTGGTCCAAGATTAGGAAACAATCGTAGACCTATGACGAAATGTTTATGAATGACGACTGGACAAACAGCAAGAGCGCGCACCCAAGAAGCCACTAGTGATGCTAGCGCGAACCCTGTTAGCTATGAGATATTATTATGGCCGAAATGATGGCACCGAAAGAATACTGCCAGTGCCAAGATTATAGATATGAGTGAAACGAAGATGTCAACAAATATCAGTCACTTACGTTCTGGAACTGGAGCATGGTTGAGAGATGAACAAAGGTTGGTGAATCCATGTTTAAGAGAGAGTCGTATGGAGGCACTAGTATCGAGCACGGCGCTGCGCCTGGTAGGCAGAATATATAACAATTACAATCAGGGTCAACATGACTCATCAGGCCTTCAGCAACAGCGCCATGATAGAGCAACATGCCAATCAAGGGTCGACTGGTCAAAGATCTTTGACTGCTTCAAGACACCCCAGCATGATAAAACGCAGAGTATCAAACGTGCCACGAACCTTATAAGGGCCCTTAGAACAGACAACCCGGAACTTGCCGACAAAACAGGGCCAGGTGAAATTGACGCGGCCCTGCCGCGCCTGCCGCGGTCGTGACGCCTGTGACGCGGCACTGTAACAAATTCCTATGTACAGATCATGTTCACACAACTTCATATCGCATTCCAAACACTTTGAATCATTGTTGATGATCAACATATGAGTGTCTGCCTGCTTACAGGCTCTATAGTGCTATATTTACCTCTCACCAAATTTACAGTGCTTGTCCTCTGCGTTCATACTACCCTAGTATGCATATTGTGTGTCAGTCCTATATTGTTGCATTACCTTCAATTCGTTCATCTATGTTGGTTTTCAGACGCAGGGTCAAGTGTTGTCTCACTGCGTCAAGCCTCGACCTCACCCTGCCAAGCTCGATCCACTCTCTATACCCTGCACCACCACGTCAAGCCCCAACCATGGCATGTCAGAAGCCTCGTTTAGGCTGGGTCAAGCATCACTCACACCACGACAAGTTCTCCCAAATATCCTCGCAGTCTCTGTACTAATACCAACATCCACACTCTATGCCGCGTCAAGCTTTCAAGGCCTACTACAGTGCCGCGTCAACCATAGCACATGCCGCGTCACATGCGCGTCACGCCGCGTCAAACCTCGTCACTGCCGCGTCAAACTTCATTCATGCCGCGTCAGACCTCCCTAGGCCTCACCATCTCCACATGCCGCGTCAAACCTCACCACCTCATTTGTCACGCTGTCCGTATAACTTAGGTATATTTTATTTTCAATCTGTCATAATGATTGATATTCTAATAGTGTTCCTTTTCATCCTGACAGAATTAGACGTCGTACACTGTAATTGTCTATAGGCAGTGATAGATTTATTTTACTGAGCATTCTTTCGTTTTGTCTCCTCTGGCCTAGAGAAGAAACCCTTATTATCGCGCAGATGGCTTGGGCTGATCTCATGATAAGCTATCCTACCAATAGCTTCGTGGCTGACGTCGACCTCGAGTGTCTGACCGCACTAGAAGCAAGGATGTTCGAGGATTCCGAAGAAGCAGGACCTGCAGGCAATCAGCAGTGGGGTTTGGATGCTGGCCAACATCACAGGCGATAAAATGTGTATCTCGGAATTCCTGATGAATAGGTTTCTGCAAGAGATTATAGTGAGAGTGAACTTGAAGTGAGGAAGACATTACCTGCTTCGTTCGATAGATCTCTAACTTATGTGATTGACAGCGCGGCCCTTTATTCAGTGATAACTCTGATGCTACATCTTTGGAGTCTGCAGACGAGCTATCCGAAGCTGTAGTTCCTTCTCTGCCGGCCGAAGAATGTCCGCCCGTTAAACGTCGATGTGCTCCACAGGCTCGAAGGGTCCAGAGAGGGAGGAAAAGAAAATAGTCATTGGCTTATGTATACCTAGTTGTACATGGCCCTATGGCAAATAAAATCACAAAGGAATGGTCGTGAATTCGTCCAACTTGATCTGGAAGTCGAATATAATGGCGCGTCAAGGCTCGTCAGTGCCGCGTCACGGCCGCGGCAGGCGCGGCAGGATCGCGTCAAAATAGCTACGCCCGACAAAACACACCCAGACATGTCCCTCAGACTTTGGGGCGGAGTCTGCGCAGACTTAACACAGACCGGCCAAAATATTTCCTACATGCCCTCGGCGCCCTTACATACCATCCCCGACACACTGCGTTAGCGATGGAGGAGGTCCAAAACGACGCATGTAGTGTGTAGAATAGGTTTGACAAGGAAGGTTTCCTGGTGAAGATGACGAGAGATGTGGAGGCTGTTGAGCGGAAGGCCTGTCTTGTGTTGTTTCGTTATTTCTTTTTGTTATGAATCTCGCACTCACGTATATGCCTTCTAGGTGGTGACCATCGTGGACCCCACTTAAAACTTGTAATGTATGGGTTGATGAGTTCTGTTACGGAGGGTATATGGCGGCCTATTGTCAGCAGAGCGGCACTGTTTAATCTCGAGGCGAAAGCTTGGACGAACTAGCCTTACGGTTTTTAGGACCACGACTTGCCAGTATCCGTATACTCATCGAATCATTTAACGATTGGAACAACAATAACGCAGGCAACACAGATGTAATAACAGCTTCACTCATGGCTCAACTTCAACAGCCTGAGTATCTAATGGTAATACATCCACGCGCTGCTTTCTTAGAAACTTGTATCGCATGATAGTGAACACCATGCTACCAGCAAGTGAAACGATCTGTTATGTAGTCGAGAGCTGACGTGAATTCTGGAGAAAATAGCAGCGACTCACCCCAGAGAACACAGCCGGTATCCACCAGATATAACTGGCTGTTAGCAGAGCGCCGCATATGGGTGTTCCTGGATAACGGGTTAGCATATGAAGCAAAAAACGACACCACTGAACCCACCTATCAAACTTGCGACTCCTGCACAGGCGATCGCACAACAAGTTAGAACACCATCGAAGTAATTATGATACCCACCAAGAGCGAATAAACAAATGCCCATGCGTGCACTACAATCCGGATTAGTTTGTACCTCCCATTTCAAATGGTCACTCACCCAAGCTCAGAGAGGTCAGGCGTCAAAAGAGCCATAAGTGGAGGCCCCATCGCATTGCCTGCGTGAAATGATGAACTTATTTGAAACTTGGGCATCGTATGGGGAAAAATTACTTACACACCCCAGAAACATAGCCATACACCACGCCGAGCACAACGACGCTGGCCAAGCTACTCAACCCAATCATGCCAAAAATGAGCACACCACATGAGAATGACGACATTATCATCAAGTCCGGGACTCCCGTGAATGCCGCAATGAACCCTGATGTAAATCGCCCTAAGCAACTGGACCCATTTAAGATCACTAACTAGAAATTCTGTCAGAACGCGAATGACTTGCGTAGTGCTAAAAACCCACAGAGTAAAACGAAAAATTGATGCTGATACCGTGCTTGATGGAGTCCAGTTGAAAGAAGAATAATGGGTAGTAGAAGCTGATCTGGAAAATAAAGCCCCTGCGGGATGGTTATTTGGAGGAATCAGAGAGAATGTGCGTAGCAGGTCTCACGCTGTCATCATGAGTACAAATGGTAGATCATGAATACATTTTCTAGACGCCACGATATAATTCACCGGTGTCGCCGGCGGATCAAGGCGAGTTCGCATGCATAGACATGCAGTTAAGAGAAACAAGCTGACCAACCCTGCGCTTACACGGACGCCATTGGCGAAACTCAGAGGGCCGTTGAGGAGGTTATTTAGCACGATCGGATGGATGATAGCACCTAGCGATGTGCCTATAGCTATAAATGTCATAACCAGTGTGCGCCTGCGTCGGAAGTGATGGGAAATAATAGCCATGCTAGGGATGTATGTGAGCCCAAATGCGATACCCAAACCTAAGCCTTGCGAGAAGAATATCTAGAACTGCGTCAAAAAATGAGATTTTGAAATTGAGGAAGTTACCTGGTAGTATTGATTAGGCTTTGAAAAAGACAACAAGAACAGAGATAAACTCTGCAGAAGTGATCCGGTAATCATGAGATGGTAACTAGCGAAGCTTGCTGAGTGTTATGGAGAACCCCCAACAAATCTATACTCACAAATATCCTCGGTCATGTAGCGAACCTGACACGAGGCCAACGGTCAGGAGTAAAAAAGCGCTCGTGCTCCCGATCCATCTACAAGTCTTGAAGGTTTCCGCTATGAAAATGCAAGTAGAAACTCACGATATAGCAGACGATGTCTCATTTGTTAGGTAGTGTTGAGTATAAAAGTCTGGAGGGCAATGCGTTAAATGTCCCATGTTCGCTTTAGTCTGCAACAATACCTTGATAGACACCAAATGAAGCAGCATACCTGTCAACTCGAGTTAGTTACAGAGCTATTCCCTCCCAGCACCGAACTCACCCCACCCCGCAAAACTGCACAAGAAAGCTAAGTAGGTCAAGTTAGAACCAAGCCTCGCGTCCAAAAGAGTATGAGTCTTCTTACGCTCCAAAAGCAGTGGCCCAACCTGTCAGACCCCCTTCGACAAACTCATGAGGGTTTGAGGGCCAATCTTTGGTGACTTGACATACGTCCGATGTCACTGGGCACCCTTTTTCCTCTTGGAGGCTTGTCTCTTTTGTATGAACTGTTCGAGATTCAGATTCGGCTGCCATCCAGGGCTGGGAGAACTGACAATAACAATAAGTACAGTATCTTGGGTATTTGTATGCACATGACCATATGACCGTCAAGTCGGACAACTGACGCGGTGGTAACGTCAAGATATCGACTTTGACGGGGTTTATATGATTAGAATCTGCAAATAGACATTTCTTCGGGCCTAGTCGACTCTTGAAACAAGGATACAGCAAGACTAAGGTTGTTGGCAGAACCCGGAACCGGTCTGGAAAAACTGTTCAAGTTGTGCTTGGTCTATGGCAGAACTCACGCAAACTTTGAGCTCGTTTGGTAACTGTTGCGTAAGCCCAAATTTCGAAATACAAATCTGTGCGTTGCTGTCAGTTTTTCGTAGGCAGCTTGAACTCCCTATGCGAAGGAGGGTGACGTGTTACATACATTGATTATCTCTGCGGAAGCATAGTATGGTACGTGAAAAGCTGAGCTCAAGAACAGGTGAGTCTTGAAGCTTCTAAAGCTTGAAGATATCAGTCTGGCAGAATTCCAACGTATTCAAGACTCGCGGAGATGTCATGTGGGTCTGATAACACATTTAATTTTGAATTCCATAGAACATAAAAATCAACTCACGTCAGGTGGTGTGGTATGCTGGAGAACGCCCGCTCGCGTCATTGTTCCAAGCAATTCCAAAAATCATCTACTCAAGGTCTTTGCCCTGACGATGCTCTCGATTATAGGGCATAGAGCACGCATTCTATGATCTCGGCACAACACAATCAGTGCAATGGTGTAATCTCTCAATTGACACATTTGAAACACTGAGAAAAATTTGTGCCAAAGATATTTAAAGTGACGTTGTTCGAAAATCCTTGCACTTCAACAATTATCGTATAGGACTCGGAGGCCGTGCTCCTGTGCAGCTCTGATGGAGGCAGCAAGCATGTATACATCATGATACGACGAAGACATGCAAAAGCGCAGATTCCGAGATCTTCTCCGCAGTCGCATCATTTGGCCAGGAGAAACGTGTTTTGAGCCAAGGCGGAGGAGATACAGTGCCGTTGGTTGTGGATGGGAAAATAACCTGTTTTCTGGCTGGAGTGACTGTCGCCAGGCCACGGGAGCGAGTTGATGCACGGTTTGTGCGTGGTGGTACATATGGAGTACGGCTTCTAGACACGTACAACCTAACGCAGGTGTGAAAGGTAAGTGAACAACATATCCATCTCATTGTGCTCACCATTACACCCGCCATAGACATGCTGCCATAAAGCATTGTACTCGAAAGTTGTGGTCAACGCTTACTGTGACGCACTGAGAAAGCGGGACTAGGCTGGTCACAGAGACGGTTGGGACACCAGAGAACCAGAGCAAGAGTCAGCATGCTGCATAAGACATAGGAAACTATTGAGACAAGTTTGTGGGGCATCTGAGGGCACAAAGATTACCCGAGTTGGCTGGCGCCCTTACATACGATCCCCGACTCTCACTGCGTTAGCGTCGAGCGATGGAAAAGGGCTTTACGGTCGAACAGAAATCACCCTCGGATTGATCCGGTTACCTCCGGACTTCCGGTCCTCATGTCCTGTGGCGTAAGTAAAGTCCTAATTCTCCTCTAGTGGTTCATGCAAGGTTCATGCACGCCATTGATATTGGCGTTCTGATGACATCACCGTGATCAGCGATGACTCCACATGGTTTTTCTTTCCCGAAGACTATCATTCCATACCTGATATGCCCGCGTCTATGATAGAAGTGGTTCGAGTGCCGCTAGAACTATGTCAGTTCAGACGACGTGCGTAGTGTACAGCATAGGTTCGACGAGGAGGGTTTTCTGGTGGATGCTGTTTGTTTGGATATTGAGTGTACGGAGGATGTTGAGCGGATGGTCTGTTTTGTTTTATTTCGTTCTTTATTTTATTCTTTGTTGTCTTGCGCTCATGTATATACCTCCCAGGTGGTAACCATCGTGGACCCCCACTTACAACGCTCAAACGACTACCTAGTATCTAAGCGCGCATCCGAACTTGGAGTCCTCGTTCAACCCAAGAGCGGCAAGGGCGACCAGCTCCAGCTCATGGGTTCACTTTTTCCACCCTGCTTCTTGGGACTTTGGGATCTCGCACTTCAAGACGAGGACTATCGATGATCAGTCACGGTGGAGTTGGATGGAGAGCACTGATAATGTTAGTATTTGGCATGATATGAACTAGGTGTTTTTTTTTTTCGATGCTAGAGTGGCTTGCTTATCTAGTATTCGCGAATACAAAATGCTAGCCGTCAGCGTTTATCCCGCACTTGATAGGAAGCCTTTCGAGTGTTGTTTTGGATGGTACGAGGGAGCTTGAGTGGGAATTTACCTCGGAGGTGGGGATATCGGTCGTTAAAGGTCCTGCGGTGCGCACGGTGGATGATTGGACTGTTGCTGTGAAATTGGAGTGAGATATATATATTTAGATCGTTTGTGCTTTGAGTCGTGAGCGTTCTTTGTTTTCATGTTTTGATCGATCGTCTTTGACGTGCAAGGCTTACTTCGAAACGATATACGACACACTTTTTGAACTTTTGCCATATCAACAAGTATAGCTACAAAGTTAAATCGAGAACCTGCTTTACTTTTGCTTTTGCGCTTGCGCTTGGAGTCTGCGTTCGCCATCAATGGTGACCTTGAGACTCTGCAAAGGAACGGCCTGCTGTTATCTTCAATAGACATGACATTGAAATCGGGATGTCCATTCCCCATCTAATTTGCGCTGCAGCTTACTCTGGGCGCACATATTTTTGCCTCATTGTTGAAGTCCTGCATAGGGGAATCTTATACTAGATTGAAGAGACTGTCGATCAGAGCTACAAAAAAACCACGTCCGGCAAATCACTTCAGGTTCCTCCTCTTCTCGCGTATCGGAATCCGATGGAAAGAAGTTGCAAGACCTGGTTTTTTATCATCCCGATGGCAATCCAGCGACACAGAATATATTTGAAGAATGCATACTGTAACGTATCTAGTGAAAAGGACCTATTACACCCAGTGTCGTTGGCCGACTACAAGAGAATTAAGTCTTCGATCTGGTAGCCATGAACCGGATCAAGACTTACCTAGGACGCGCTGCCTTTTGAGAAACACATATCGCATGACGATAAACATTATGGCGGCAGCCAGTGAAACAGTCTGTCATGTAATTGATTTAATTTACTCAACGTGAACTCTAGAGCAAATGATAATAACGGTCGACTCACCCCGGAGAACAGACCGGGTATCCACCAGGTATAATTAGATGTTAGCAGGGCGCCAGATATAGGTGCTCCTGGATAAAGAATCAGAATCCGAAGAAAGAACCGATACCATTGGACTCACCGATCAAACCTCCGAATCCTATAGTGATCGCGACAAGTTTGACTAACATGGAAGTAATAGTAATGATAATATTCACCAGCAGCAAAGAGACAGATGCCCATCCGTGCGCTATGATCCATGTGAGATGGTTTGTACGTTCAAACGTAATGATCACTTACCCAAGCTCAGAGAGGTCGGGCGTTAGAGTAGCTACGAGTGGAGGCGCCATCGCAACGTCTACATGTAACGATAAACTCATCTGCAACTTCCATACCGATGATAGCTGAAAAATTTGACTTACTCAGCCCTGAAAAATAACCATAAAGCATGCCAAGCACAACGACGCTGGCCAAGTTACTCAGCCCAATCATGCCCAAAATGAGCACACCGCACGAGGTTGACGCCACTATGGTTAAATTCAGAACCCCCGTGAATGACGCAATCAACCCTGACGTGAATCGTCCCAAGCAATTGGACCCATTTAAAATCACTAACTAGAGATTTTGTAAGTAGATGCATGACCTGCGTAGTGGAACCCACAGAGTAAAACGAAAATTTAACGCTGATACCGTGCTTGATGGAGTCGAGCTGGAAGAAGAATAACGGATAGTAGAAGCCCGTTTGGAGAAGAAAGGTCCTACAGGATGGCTAGTTGAAGGAATTCGAGAGAAGGTACGCAGCAGGTCTCACCCTGCTATCAGGAGCATGAACGGTACATCATAAATGCATTTTCTAGCTACCGCAATATAGTTCACTGGTGTCGCCGGCGGATCAAGGCGAGTTCGCATGGATAGACATGCAGTCAAGAGAAATAAGCTGGTAAACCCTGCGCTTACACGGACGCCATTAGCAAAACCAAGAGGACCGTTGAGGAGGTTATTGAGCATGATCGGATGGATGATAGCACCCAGCGGTGAACCCGTAGCGACGAACGTCATAACCAGTGTGCGTCTCCGTCGGAAGTGATGGGAGATGACAGCCATGGTAGGAATATACACAAGCCCCGACGCAATACCCAAGCCTAAGCCTTGAGAAAGAAAGATCTTTCTGAGTCAAGAAAAAACAAGACTATAAAGCCAGGTGACGTTACTTGGTAGTAGTGATTGGGTTTCGACATAGACAACATGAACAGAGATAAACTGTGCAGGAACGATCCGGCAATTATGAGATGGTAACTAATGAAGCTCGCTGAGTATCGTCGAGAACTTCCAACATATCTACACTCACAAGTATCCTCGGTCATGCAGTGAACCTGACACGAGGCTCACGGTCATGAGTAAAAACGCAGTCGTGCTCCCGATCCATCTACAAGTCTTGAGGATATCTGCCATGAAAAAGCAAATATAAACTCACGATATAGCAGACGACGTCTCATTTGTTAGGTAATGTTGAGTATAAAAGTCTGGAGGGCAATATGTTGAATGGTCCATGCTCACGTTCGTCTGCAGCAATACCTTGATAAACACCAAACGAAGTAATATACCTATTAAGTTGAGTCAGTCACAGAGCAATTTCCCGCCAACACCTGCATGAGACTCACCCAAACGCACAAAACTGCACGAGAAAACTAGGTAGATCAAGTTAGAACCAGGTCCCTGTCCAAGAGTATGAGTCTTCTTACGATCCAAAAGCAGTTGCCCAACCTGCTAAACCACCTTCGGAAAACTCGTGCAGGCTTGAGGGAAGGTCCCAATTATTGGAAATATGACATACTTCCAATGTCTCTGAGCACTCCTTGTTCTCTTGAGGGACAACCCCTTCTGTAGTATGAACCGTTCGATGTTCAGATTCGGCTGCCATCCTGGGCTGGGAGAACTGACAATCACAGTAAGTACAAAACTTGGGTATTTATATGCACACACCTGATCGTGATTCTATGTCCGTCAAGTCGGCCGACTGATGTGGCAATATGGACGAATTTGCAAACGGACATTCTTTCGGACCAAACCGATGGTCAACTCTGGAAAAAAAGAAGAACAGTTAGCTGATTCCAAGGGCGGCCAAGGTGAAGCATAGCCCATGTGCGAAAGCAACCCTGATCCTGCGGTGATGAGTGGGAGCTAACATCTGGAAGGAACAGACACATGTGTCCGTGAAGGTGGTTCGAGGTATTGGTATTTTGGAGTTGGAGTTGGAGTTGGAGCCATACCGCGGGCGACGGGCGTGGCTTAGTGGTATGTTATGTTGTGCATATGATCGCTTCAATCCTCTTGTTGGTTTTCTGCAGTATTTACAGATTCAGATCAGACAAGCCATATAGACACTAGCATTTAGTATTACATACGAGCGGAAGTCCGAGGATCTTCGAATACTGACTATCGTTTTAACAAGGATCCTCTCACTTCAATGATTATCGAAACGAGTCGGAAGCAGGCTGCCGGTACTCCCATGCGGCTGAGGGCCACTGGGAGGAATTACAGTGCCATTGGCCGTGTTGCGGATGCGAACATCCAAAATTTGTAATTGCTTTCAAGCTGGAGTACTAATTATCAGTATCAGGTCAAGGGAACTATGTGTTGGTGTACTGGGCATGGTGGTGTGAAGTTGAGAAATGTACTAGTAGGACTCAACGTCCAACATTCAGCTAAGACTTCGAAGTCCGGTGTTTTGCTTCTGTTTGTATTTTTGACTCGTCGTATTCATCTCATTTTGCTAAGTGCCTCACACCAGACATACGAGCGCTCATTCAGAAAGTAATGGTCGACACCTTCGGAGATACTTGGGTCGCAATGCATCATCGACCTCAGTAATTTCCCATTCTCCCAAACGACCGTACCAACACATCACAAATGACTTGGACAGCGCAACGCTGCCTGGCGACATGTTGAATCCCAGCAAGCACACGCTGCCTTCAACAATATTTCGAATTTCGACGGCATTGTGGTCCAGTGGGATGTTTAGTTCGGCTAGGAGGGACTCGGACTACATCTATTTTGCACGAACTTGAATGGCATTTGTGTCTAGTTCTGTTGATTTATACGCCCAGACTCGCTCAGTCAGCGATGGACTCTCGGCGGACTTCAAGTTCGCTTTCTGTCCTGCACGGGATTTACTCGCTGTAGTGACTTTCCATCCAGACATGTGAGTAAGTAAACGTTTACATCTTTTCAGCCAGTTCACTCCTAAGCTAAACTCATACGGGCGGTCATAGCCATGCATGCGATATCTATGGACATTGGGATCTGTGTGGGAAGTCCATGCATCTTGCACGCTCTCAGCGACCAACTTCAAATGGTTACCGTCGATTGCGAGTGCCGGTGCAGCACGCAAAGCATCGGGGTTTCCGAGGCTCGGAGGTACTGTAAAAGCTGCAGTACATTGACCCGGCGATATCGACAGTTGGTGCATGCCATCGGCTTCTGTGGGAAGAGCACCAACCCTTCTGATTCAGGGAAAGAACTGTTAAAGCGTGAAAGAAGGCTGAACTAAACTCCGGCGGATCGGACACGCGGATTTCAATGCACGAAGGTTAGGGAAGAGTAATGTGGGAGGAAAGCACGCGAAATGTAGGACACGACCTTTGATAGTAAACGACGTACATGCATGATGCATCAGTATTGTAATTTTATGTGCCATAGAATGCCAACATTTCACTTAAAAAGATCTACGTGACGTACTGAATCGTAAACGTCTCTAGGGATCAGACTTGCTGAGGGGATTGCGCATCATTCCTTTAGGGATCCGAGTACTGGAAAATGCGATGTCATTTTGGTCAGGCTATGTTATACCATTGTGATGGTGGTGTTCCAGCGCATATCTAGTGTCAATAAGCAAGAAAAGCTTCTAGAATATTTCATACCAATCCGGGATCTACAACTGAAGAAAGTTGATGCGAGTGTGAAACTTCATACCAGATCGAAGAGACCATCCATCACAGCCAAAAACCATATCCGGCAAGTCACTTCAGGCTCCCTCTTCTCGCGTATCGGAATCCGATCGGAAGAAATTGCACAACACGCCTCTTTATCGTCCCGAGAGAAATATCCTGCGACGAAACGACCTGCTGCCAGTCCCAGTGTTGTTGGCCAAGTGCGAGAAGAGAGATAAGTCTTCATCTCCGGAAGCCGGATGAAGACCTACCTAGGACGCGCGCCTTCTGAGAAACATATATCGCACTATGATAAATGTCATGGCACCAGCCAGTGAAACGATCTGTTATGTAGTCGATTTAATTGCACTCAGCGCGAACTCTGGATAAAATGATAATAACGGTCGACTCACCCCGGAGAACAGACCGGGTATCCACCAGGTATAATTAGATGTTGGCAGAGCGCCAGATATGGGTGTTCCTGGACAAAGAATTATCATTTGAAGCTAGAACCGACACCATTGCACCCACCAATCAAACCTCCGATTCCTATCAGTGATCGCGACAAGTTTGAATAACATGGAAGCAATAGTAATGATAATAATATTCACCAGCAGTGAAGAAACAGATGCCCATCCGTGCACTATGATCCAGGTCAGATGGCTCGTACGTTCAAACATAAATGATCACTTGCCCAAGCTCAGAGACGTCGGGCGTTAAAGTAGCCATGAGTGGAGTCGACATCGCAACGTCTACATGCAGCGATGAACCCATGTTAATGATAGCTGAAAATTTTACTTACTCATCCCTGAAAGATAGCCATAAATCACGCCAAGCACAACGACGCTTGCCAAGCTACTCAGCCCAATCATGCCAAAAATGAGCACACTGCACAAAATTGCCGCCACTGTGGCTAAATTCACAACCCCCGTGAACCTCGCAATAAACCCTGACGTGAATCGCCCTAAGCAATTGGATCCATTTAATATCACTAACTAGAGACTCTGTCAGCAGACGCCGCGGATGACTCGTGTATCGCTGGAACTCACAGAGTAAAACGAAAAATGAACACTGATACCGTGCTGGATAGAGTCTAGTTGAAAGAAGAATAACGGGTAGTAGAACCCGATCTGGAAAAGAAAGCCTCTGCAGGATGGTTATTTGAAGAAAGTCAAGAATGTACGTTGCAGGTCTCACCCTATTATCAGGAGCATGAACGGTACATCGTGGATACATTTTCTAGCCGCCACGATATAGTTCACCGGTATCGCCGGCGGATCAAGGCGAGTTCGCATGCACAAACACGCAGTTAAGAGAAATAAGCTGATCAACCCTGCGCTTATACGGACGCCGTTGGAAAAACCAAGAGGGCCGTTGAGGAGGTTATTGAGCACGATCGGATGGATGATAGCACCTAGCGATGAGCCTGTAACGACGAACGTCATGACCAGTGTGCGCCTCTGTCGGAAGTGATGCGAGCTAACAGCCACGCTAGGAATATACAAGAGCCCCGTCGCGATACCCAACCCTAATCCTTGAGAGAGAAATATCTGACTGAGTCAGAAACCGAGATTTAAAAATTGGGGAACATTACCTGGTAGTACTGATCCGGTTTCGACAAAGATAACATGAACAGAGATAAACACTCCAGAAACGATCCGGCAATTATGAGATGGTAACTCGCGCAGCTTGCTGAGTATCGTCGAGAACTTCCAATAGATCTACACTCACAAATACCCTCGGTCGTGCAGTGAACCTGACACGAGGCCCACGAGCATGAGTAAAGAAGCGCTAGCGCTCCCGATCCATCTACAAGTCTTGAGGATATCTGCCATGAAAACGTAAATAGAAACTCACGATATAGCAGACGAAGTCTCATTTGTCAGGTAATGCTGGGTATAAAAGTCTGGAGGGCAATATGTCAAATGGTCCATGCTCGCTTTCGTTTGCAGCAATACCTTGATAGACACCAAACGAAGTGATATAACTATTAAATCAAGTCAGTCACAGAGCCATTTCCTGCCAACACCTGCAACAGACTCACCCGAATCCGCAAAACTGTACCAGAAACCTGTGTGGACTGAGTAGGAGCCAGCTCAAATATTTTGCCTTCTTACGCTCCAAAAGCGGTGGCCCAACCTGCCGAACCACCTTCGGAAAACTCGTGCGGGCTTGAGGGAGGGTCCCAATGCTTGGAGACTCGACATGCTTCCAATATCTCTGGGTCCTCTTTGTCCTCTTGCAGAGAAGCCCCTTCTGCATGAATCATTCGAAGTTCGGAGTCAGCTGCCATGCTGGGCTGGGAGAACTGACAATGACAGTAAGTACTAGTACTTGGGTATATATATACACACACCTGACCACCGCGATTCTATGTCCGCCGAGTCGGACAACTGATGCTGCAACGTCAACATAGAATTTGCGTAGTCCATGGCGAACACGATCTTGCAATGGCGAGTGCTAGTGAGAGCTGACGCGCTGACGTTCATGGACATCCGGAAGTAACAGACGTGTCTGTGAAGGTGGTTCGACGTAACTTAGTAGGTGGTGTGTGTGGTGCATACGACTGCTATACTTAACCCTGTTAAAACATAGCTAGTACATATTCAAGTTTCGACGCGCGCCTGCCGTGGTTGTGACATAGCTGTGACGCCGCATGACGCGCATGTGACGCGGCAGTCAGACGCGGCCACTGACGCGCCAAATATTCCTATATGTTCTACATTCGACTTCCAGATCAAGTTGGATGAATTCACCACCATTCCTATTTGCCGTAGGTCCTCTGTCGCTGAGGTTAGTATCATTCTCGTATATACCACCTATTATGTAACTGACAACCTCGGTAGCTGGGTCTTCTACAGGTATACCTAATATATATACAGTCGACTCCCTCCGCATACCTCTTGGGATAGCCCCAGATGTATGGCCTATTAGGGAGTATGGGGTATTCAAGAGAGCAAAAGCCCTGAAACCTAACTTTGGAAATCCAAAAATGTATGTCCTATGAGGGAGTATGGGTTATACCTGGTATGCGTTAGGAGGGAGTCGACTGTAGTTGACTTCGTCTGTCCCTGAGCTGTGTCTGCTACAGCTATGGGCTCGCTCCGCCGGAACCGATGGAAATTGTGTGGCTGAATGCATAGCCCTTGAAGTCAGCGTGCTGGCCATCATGCTTCGAACGTTGTTTGGAGTTCCGCCAAAGAGTGGGACGCCCATTCCCTTCTCACACCACTTCTCAGTGTACCCCGCCGTTTCTTTCATAACCATCTAAATCTACAACCACTCGTCATGACTGAATATCATAGGCCAGATATCGATCCTTCTTCAGGAACTCTTAGATCCAATCAGGTAAATGTTACTGAAAGCTCGGTACGTGGTCTCTTGAATTCATCGTCGTCCTTACGCATTATTCGTCCAGGACCAACCTCGTAGAGGATCTGCTCAGTTCCTGCAGAAATTGAAGAATGGGTTAACCAAAAAGCTTCCTGTGCGTAGACGTGAATACTGTTGTTCTGCATACGGCTAAGATTGTACAGAAACGCTCCAAGCGAACATGCAAACCCCCCACTGCGGTCCACGACGTCAGAAATGAAGGGGCTTCATCGAGTCAGCAAGTAGAGGTAAGTGCTCGGACTCGCTATTCCAGTCCTTTGGTTTTCTTAGTGGCCCTCAGGACACGTTGCATCTCGATCCTTCCAACGACAACAAGCATCCAACCACATCTGAGATTCCCAGTGACTCCGTGAATAAAGGGCTGTCCGGAGAGCCTGCTCCACAGGTATTTCCATCAAATACTCTGATTTTCTTCTCTAATTTTGGCGGTACCACAGGTTCAGGCTGCTTCTTCCGGCGAGGAAGTGAGACCTGATCCCAAATTAGTTGACGCCGAACTTCAGGGTGCATGTGATGGTGCACAAAGCATGCGATCATTCGGGAAACATGCGACTGCTATGGCATCCGCCGTCGACAATGCCCCAGCGGATCTTACTGCCGCAGATGATTTTGAGACGATGTATCTCCAACCCCTCAAGATTATTGATGCTGTCCTTGAGAAGATTACAGACGTATGGGCCATTCCGGTCGTTTGAAAGGGAACTCATCAAGTTGTATAGGTACATCCGTACGCAAAGATGGCGCTGGGCGTGCTATCTGCTGCATCCAAGGTATGTTTGGTTTCTCCTGGAGTCCAGTTTCCTCCTCAGAAGTTCTAATTTCATGAAGATCATAATCGCGCAGGCACAGCGCGACGTTGAAATGCATGATTTTGAAAAAACGGGAAGGTTTTACCATACTTCTTGCCCCATACAGTGAATGTGAGCCAGGGCTTGACATGAGGCATGTCTCGAAGGTTCCCAACCAGAGGCAGGCCCCGAGGACCAGGAGGATATGGTGCGCGATTCTTCTTGGCGAATACTTGCTTCACTTCCCCAAATCACAGAACTTCCATCTAGCTTTCAGATTCTCGTTACCTCTCGCCCGCTTTATGATATCGAAGATGCATTTTACGGTGCTGAGCATATTCTACGGTTGTCGATGGACGAGATTCCAGCAGCAGTGGCAGAGCGCGACATCCACACGTCCGTATCTGAGGAGCTGAAGGGGCTACCAGATTTTCGCGACAAAGAGCTTACAAGTCTAGCTGCGAAAGCCGATGGATCTTTCGAGTGGGCGCGTCTTGCTTGCGACCACATCAAAGACGCGCCTCCAGGCGTATGCCAAATGCGTCGCTTGTATGCTCTCGTCAACCGCAGGGCTGGAAAGCAGAAGAACCTGTTGTACGATATGTATCTGGTCATTTTGCAAGAAATCATGAGAAGTCATCAATATGACGACGACGAGTACAAACAAGCACTGGCAGTGTTTCGTTCTGTGATGGGACAGATACTTGGCACAGCTTTTTTTTTTTGATCAATAGTCAATGAAATTTTAGGGAACCCTGTTCGAACGAACTAACGAAAAGTTTCTAATGCTTAAATATTAAAAAATTACCACATACGGCCATAGCTTCTGCGGGACCGGGAACACCGCTATCGCTAATTATGCTTCTTTCGGTTGAAATCGATACTCGCAGAAACGACACATTACGCACTGCGCATCGCAACATTCGCACTCGTATCGATCGTACGTATCGCTCGCAACGTGCAACGTCTCGTATCATAGACATGCGTAGTACTTCTGTTATTTGTTAAATCTTAGGCCAATCTATTATAAATACTACCGATTTCGAATAAATTCGTGTGTGTATGCGAGAAGTATGGGTTGGGGAAGACCACACTCAGTATCAAAGTTGACATGGTATCAACACCTTCAGCAGGCTGGTACAGAGGAGGAGGGGGCGAGAGTACGTGCTGCTGAAGCACCATACATATGGTATTTGATAGTTTCAGTTTTGCCTCATATACTGACTAGGATCATATCATAGACAACACTATCCAGGATCTCTTCCCTCCAGAACAGCAAGACGATCAAAGTGCAGCTTCTGGCTCCTCCCCGCCTCCCAGTTCTCGTCGCGCAGCCCCAATACAGACACTTGCCAAACGAGCGCGCGAGAATACAGACACGAGACATATTGGACGCCGAAAAAGGGCTCAAACTACCTCGATGGACCAGTCGCAACCGAGTCAACAGAGCCACTACTCGGATGATACGGATATCACAATGGGTGAGACAAGTGCAGTTGTGAATAGTTAGCGAGAGCAAGAGATCGATGACAATGTCACTGACGATCCAACAATATTGGCTGTCTGCCCCAGTACGTTCATCAGAGTAATAGCAACGGCGCGCTTCGCAGGTTCTCTGAAGAAAGTACTGCTGATCCAACCTAAGAGCACCAAGTATCCAGCGGTAACTCGAGCCGCATCAGGAACCTGTATGTTTCTGAGCACAAGAGTGACGACTCACGACCGGCGATACCACTCACAGTGAAATATAGTGTGCAGCCTTGTCCATCGTAAAGATTGACATGATGGATGCAAGGGCGCCAAGTGCATTGGAGACAATAAAGCATTTGTAACGCCTCTGCTTCTTGTCGGAGTACCTGATCTCCACGAGATGCGTTACAGTCGTGTCATATCCCAGTGTCGCGCACAGCGTCGGGAAGTAGGCCAAGAAACACTGCCCTACTACCTGGAACATGACCGCAACCACGTCTCCCAATCAGACATCGGATCCCGCAGTCCTTTCATGGTCGTCTGCTTCCCAAGCTTGTCAGCCTTACCATAGCCATCTTCTACAAGGCGAGATATAAGAATTGCGCTTTTCTCTGGGGTGAACCACCTGGTGTCGTGCGGGACATCAGGAAGCATGAACATCGCGCAAACGGCGACCAAGATGGTGACACCGCTTTCAATATAAATAATCATCTACAAATCATTCAGTTATAGAAATGCTCGTCACCTGCCTCCATGCAGCTTGCCTAAATTTGTCCTGCATGCCGTGGAGTATAGCGGATGCAAACATGGATCCGAATGCAAAGTTGAGAAAACTTCGGCAAGAAACGAGAGCTAGTCTCAAGGCGACCTCGTCTCGCCTGTACCGTTTAGATACAAGAAATACAATTCGGGGGAAGAAGGGAGCTTCGGCAAAGCCGAGAAACAAGCGGGCGACGATAATGCCAGTATCACTTGGGTCAAACTATCAGAGACTGGATCTGAGTAATGCAAGACAAGGAAGTGTACTTCGTAGTGATTCTTGGGCACGATTAGTAGTCATCTTCATGAACGGTCAGTACTCAGTGTCGATGAACCTGACAATACTGATATCGTAAACATATAGCACAGAATGATGACAGAAGGCCTCTCCAGCCAGTGCAGGAACATGTTCCTGAAGAAAAGTTACGTTCAGCTGTTTCTCAATCGAGGATGAAACTCACCCTGGCACTCGCATGATAATGTATCCAAATAGAACGGACAAAATTGTGGCGTATTGTTCCTTATGCAAGTACAGGTCTTTCTTGAAACCTTGTAACCGAACGTTGCTGTAGGGGTCATTAGATTCATACGAGTACAACGGTACTATTTGACACACCTAATATTAGTTCTGTCAACCTAGGATGCACAGCAAGTGTCGGAATAGAGTTCGCAAAGACCCTGACCCACCAGATTCAAAGCATATAAGATCAGTGTTATGGACATACGTAAATCAAGCTTCCTCAGTAATCCCTCTCAGGTCATTACGAGTATGACACGGTAGGTAAGTCGTTGATAACGTTAATTGCCGTTGGATCACAGAGAGTGAGCATCGTTAAGGGTGGGAAAACAAACTAACATGTAGGCTTGGATATATTCTTGGCGACACACAGTTGAGAGAATACTGCAAATGATTACAGCTGGAAGCTATGGATCGCCTGCAAATGTCCTGAATCTATATTGACCGCACCACTGAGGATCACAAGAGCAAATCAGGCTGCTCCACCAGGATCAACCTCTAGTTTACCTAGCGACGGACCGGATCAGCGACTCTACTGATTGGTTTGGCCAAATAGTTTATCAGGGTGGATGATACAGCGTGAATGACAGAACTTCGCAACGAGAACGTAGCCATCACCCGGTAGAAGCCCCGGGCCAGGGGCCAGCGGATAGACACATCGGAATCAACCTATAGAAGTATAAAAATAAATACACCCTGAAAGTAGTTGATGGGACTGACACTGACCTGGATCCATTTAGTTTAATAACGACCTGCAAGTTGCTGTAGAATCTTAGTCGAGACTCATCTGAGCTACTGGCAGATGTGCAACCATCGCTGTATCTCTTCTCTATAGCATAAGCCTAGGAGAGAGGTTATGGCGCAATAATGCATTAACTCTGCTGGTGAAAAAGGTTTAGCAATGTGCCAATGATACTCCTGAGTACGAATCGTAGCGCATCACGAGTGCTAACCATCAGACACACCGGCCAAGCTTGCCTATGGTACATAAGCTCGTGAGAGTTGCCAATGCAGCAAACGACAAAAAAGCAGTGAATTGCAAAAATGATTTTACAGGTATAGATAATATGATACCAGTTGAACGTTGAATAGCGAAGGAGATGCTGTGATGAAACTGCGCCGGGTATTATGCGGGAATAGTGGAATGTGAAAATACTTGGGGCCGAAGTATATATGGCTGTAGGAAGCCGAAGACTCAGAAGAACATCACGAGGCACGGCATTATGCATCAATACCGTGTAGTAGTAGCAGTGACTACGATAGTCAGTCTGTTGAAAGTTCTGATCCGACCCGTAGTTCCCACGCAACGTTCAAGCTTCAACATGTGCTGGTCTTAGTAATCTGCACGTCCCGTTTAGCTCAGTTGGTAGAGCGCGTCACTAGTAATGACGAGGTCAGTCGTTCAAGTCGGCTAATGGGAAGTCTTTTTGTTTTGTTTCTCAGAAGTATCGGACCTTAACATCTATCATAGTGCCACAAAACCCGGTGATCCGAATTCAAGGTGTCTGGATTCCTAGTATCCTGGTAGCTAGCCTCGCAGCTGACCTACATGCATAGCTGTAGTATATAGTTCAGGGTGTCAGGTAAGCGTGATGCACTGCTTTGTAGCACTGCCCCTGCAGTACTACTTCCTTGTTGCTTCCACTGTGACTTCAAGTTTCTGTACTTAATTTCATACGATTATACGTAAAACACTGGCAGTCGGTCAAGGATGCATCTGCCTATTTCGGCGGCACAGGCGCTGGATGGTGTATATGTAGCACCAACATCACCGTTATGCTCCACCAAAATCGCTACTCTTTGACCCATATTTCTTGGATATGATCCTACTCTCAATTGATCCCAGTGGTTGGCCGGACAACGATACACATCAGGTTGCCACCTATGTTTTAGGTTCGTGAAGAGCAAGCCCGATGCTGTCACTTGACTCTATTTATGACTGGTTTTGCAGTGGCATCTTCGACTGCAATACTCTATGATTGGGGTAAGCAACACAGTATTTATCGAGGCGATTGTTGATGTCCCGGTATCATTTAGCACTGACATTCCGACAAGAGGTAGGTTGATGAGTTGATGTCATTACCAGAACAGCAGTACTGACAATGTATCTATAGGTTGAACTGATCTGGGTGAGTAGAACTCTTATCGCATATTGACGCCAAACGAACTAATTCGAGACAGACGCGACGCTGGTCTTTCATGACCCTTCTATATGTCATCGTATGTAGCCAATATTATGCGCTGTGGTGCACTTGACAAGTTATATATACTGATTTGAGAATATTCTAGGTGCGCTACGTTGGAATACTATACTCTATGTATGTTCACAAGGTCAACAGTTAGCACTGTACTAACAAGTCATCTTACTATCAGCAACAACCTACTGCGTATGTCTCCTTACTCTGTTGCCATTTCTTCTGACCAACAGTAAGCAGCGAGCCTCCCAGGAATTACGATGACAGATGTGGTAATTATCTCGTGCCAGCGTCTGCCTGCCATGCCTGTCCAACTGACTACACTTCTACTTAGGGGTGAGTGAAATACCTGTTTTAGGGATTCTATATAACATCTGAGATAGCTGTAAGTTTGACCAAATTATTTAACTCCGAGACTCTTCAGTAACTATGTTTTCTAGGTACCCTATTTTTCTTGGTACAAGCAGGGACATATTTCGTTATAAATACCATACTCGGCAGTGAGTTACTGCGCACTCCGCTAAGATTCGACTAAAATATCTTGCAAGTCATCATGGTTGCTCGATTATATGCCATGTATCAGGGATCAAAAAAAATCCTCGTCTTTCTCATTGCAGTCTTTCCAACTATCACAGCCGCCTGTGGAGTACTGTTTGTATTAGCAATCCGCACTTTGCCTTGGGGTATGCTTCGATTATCACGAAAGACCTTGAACCATCAAGCTGATACGACGGATTTCAGATGACCTCGTCCTCTCCGGCACTCATCAGTGTGTTTACGAGGTTCAGAGAAGCCAACAACTTGAACTTCTGTTGGCCGGGGTTTGGATACTCCGCATTGTGTGGGAGGGCATTGTACTCTGTCTTGCGGCCTGGATTGCTGTAAAACATTTCCATGACATGGGGTGTCAATTTCCAAGATGGCCCAAAGGGGACTGTTTCACGGTGTTGATAGAAAGTCATGTGCTTTACTTTGCAACGTGAGCTCCCAATCTTGACGCGATTGATTTTATTTCGCTGAAGTTCCACGTGTGCTAGGTTTGCTGCCGTTTCTTGTTTCAACCTTGGCTGTCTGTCTCCTAACATAATAGTATGTGTGCCGATTTGTAACTGGCATCTTACGTCTGACCACTGTTTTGTCTATAGGACTCATATTCCGTGGGAGCTCAAATTTATTATGCTATACTTCAAATCGCCATATTCGTGCAATTGTTCGTGCTGGGACCACGTCTCATCCTTAGTGTTCGAGACTATCACGCCAAGCTCACGTGTAACGCCGAACTAGCAACTTGTATGAGTTCAATTGCTTTCCAGGAGGAGTCAGGGCTCGTAAGCGTGTCGACTAGCACTAGCAGTGTGTAGCACGAAAATCGGGTACTCTGCTCGTGGACTCGTAAATGGTGCTGGTTTGGTTCCCGAAGTTGGAAGTGATAGGTGTATGTAGCCAATACTTAATGTCTACCATCGGGCATCGCCCCAACGGACAATAAACAAATACTCAATGTACTGTATCACTACTGGAATTAGCTATCTACCGGTATTCGCATTATGCTTTCGTGCGAATGACTCC